TATTCACACCCATGAGCCAATACATGTTTTACTCACCTTTGGCAGTGATTACAGCTGTGAGACTTTCTTGGTAAGTCTCTAAGAGCTTTGCACACCTGGATTGTACAATATTTGCACATTATTCTTTAAAAAAAGATTTGCTAGACAGCCATTTTCAAGTCTTGCCATAGATTTTCAAGCCTATTTAAGTTAAAACTGTAACTAGGCTACTCAGGAACATTCAATGTAATCTTGGTAAGCAACTCGTGTTTTAGGTTATTGTCCTGATGAAAGGTGAATTTGTCTCACAGTGTCTGTTGGAAAGCACACTAAACCAGGTTTCCTCTAGGATTTTTCCTATGCTTAGCTTTATTCCGTTTCTTTTTATCCTAAAAAAACATAGTCCTTGCCAATGACAAGCATACACATAACATGATGCAGCCACCACCATGCTTGAAAATATGAAGAGTGGCACTCAGTGATGTTTTGTGTTGGATTTTCCCCAAACATAACACTTTGTATTCAGGACAAAAAGTGAATTGCTTTGCCACATTATTAGCAGTTTTACTTTAGTGCCTTATTGCAAACAGGATGCATGTTTTGGAATATTTATATTCTGTAAAGACTTCCTTCTTTTCACTCTGTAATTTAGGTTAGTATTGTGGAGTAACTACAATGTTGTTGATCCATCCTCAGTTTTCTCCTATCACAGCCATTCAACTCAGTAACAGTTTTAAAGTCACCATTGGCCTCATGGTGAAATCCATGAGTTATTTTCTTAATCTCTGGTTACTGAGTTAAAAAGGACGCCTGAATCTTTGTAGTGACTGGGTGTATTGATACACCGTCCAAAGTGTAATTAATAACTTCACCATGGTCAAAGGGATATTCAATGTCAATATTTTTTTTTTTACCCATCTACACAATAGGTGCTCTTACAAGGCATTGGAAAACCTCCCTGGTCTTTGTGGTTGAATCTGTGTTTGAAATTCACTGCTCGACTGAGGGACCTTACAGATAATTGTATAGTTGAAGTCAGAAGTTTACATACACCTTAGCCAAATACATTTAAACTCAGTTTTTCACAATTCCTGACATTTAATCCTAGTAAAAATTCCCTGTCTCAGGTCAGTTAGGATCACCACTTTATTTTAAGACTGAAATGTCAGAATAATAGTAGAGAGAATGATTTATTTCAGCTTTTATTTATTTCATCACATTCCCAGTGGGTCAGAAGTTAACATACACTCAATTAGTATTTGGTAGCATTGCCTTTAAATTGTTTAACATGGGTCAAACGTTTCGGATAGCCTTCCACAAGATTCCCACAATAAATTGGGTGAATTTTGGCCCATTCCTTCTGACAGAGCTGGTGTAACTGAGTCAGGTTTGTAGGCCTCCTTGCTCGCACATGCTTTTTCAGTTCTGCCCACACATTTTCTATAGGATTGAGGTCAGGGCTTTGTGATGGCCACTCCAATACCTTGACTTTGTTGTCCTTAAGCCATTTTGCCACAACTTTGGAAGTATGCTTGGGGTCATTGTCCATTTGGAAGACCCATTTGTGACCAAGCTTTAACTTCCTGAGTGATGTCTTGAGATGTTGCTTCAATATATCCACATAATTTTCCTTCCTCATGATGCCATGTATTTTGTGAAGTGCACCAGTCCCTCCTGCAGCAAAGCACCCCCACAGCATGATGCTGCCACCCCCATGCTTCACGGTTGGGATGGTGTTCTTCGGCTTGCAAGCCACCCCCTTTTTCCTCCAAACATAACGATGGTCATTATGGCCAAACAGTTCTATTTTTGTTTCATCAGACCAGAGGACATTTCTCCAAAAAGTACGATCTTTATCCCTATGTGCAGTTGCAAACCGTAGTCTGGCTTTTTTATGGCGGTTTTGGAGCAGTGGCTTCTTCCTTGCTGAGCGGCCTTTCAGGTTATGTCGATATAGGACTAGTTTTACTGTGGATATAGATACTTTTGTACCTGTTTCCTCCAGCATCTTTACAAGGACCTTTGCTGTTGTTCTGGGATTGATTTGCACTTTTCGCACCAAAGTACGTTCATCTCTAGGAGACAGAATGCGTCTCCTTCCTGAGCGGTATGACGGCTGCGTGGTCCCATGGTGTTTATACTTGCGTACTATTGTTTGTACAGATGAACGTGGTACCTTCAGGCGTTTGGAAATTGCTCCCAAGGATGAACCACACTTGTGGAGGTCTACAATCTATTTAGTGTCAACTTAGTGTATGTAAACTTCTGACCCACTGGAATTGTGATACAGTGAATTATAAGTGAAATAATCTGTCTGTAAACAATTGTTGGAAAAATTACTTGTGTCATGCACAAAGTAGATGTCCTAACCGACTTGCCAAAACTATAGTTTGTTAATAAGACATTTGTGGAGTGGTTGAAAAACAAGTTTTAATGACTCCAACCTAAGACTCCAAACTTCCGACTTCAACTGTATGTGTGGGGTACAGGGATGTAGCTCAGTTGGTAGAGCATGGCGTTTGCAACGCCAGGGTTGTGGGTTCGATTCCCACGGGGGGCCAGTATGAAAAATAAAAAAAGGATATATGCACTCACTAACTGTAAGTTGCTCTGGATAAGAGTGTCTGCTAAATGACTAAAATGTAAATGTACAGAGATGAGGTAGTCATTCAAAATCATGGTAAACACTATTATTCCACAGAGTGTGTCCATGTGACTTGTTAAGCAGATTTTTACTCCTGAACTTATTTAGGCTTGCCATACAAAGGTGTTGAACGCTTTTTGACTCAAGATATTTGAGCTTTTCATTTCTAATGAATTAGTAAAAATGTCTAAAAACATAATTCCTTTTTATTTTTTATTATTACTATAATTTTTTTTACTTTTTACCCCTTTCCCCCCCCCCCCAATTGGTAGTTACAGCGTTGTCCAATCGCTGCATCTCCTGTATGGGCTCAGGAGAAGAGAAGGTCGAGAGCCATGCATACTCCGAAACACGACCATGCCAAGCCGCACTGCTTCTTGACACACTGCTCGTTTAACCCGGAAGCCAGCCGCACCAATGTGTCGGTGGAAACACCATACAACTGACGACCTGTCACCCTAGACCCACTTCAATTTGCTTACCGCCCCAATAGATCCACAGACGATGCAATCGCCATCACACTGTACACTGCCCTATCCCATCTGGACAAGAGGAATACCTATGTAAGAATGCTGTTCATTGACTATAGCTCAGCATTCAACACCATAGTACCCTCCAAGCTCATCATTCAGCTCGAGGCCCTGGGTCTGGACCCCGCCCTGTGCAACTGGGTCCTGGACTTCCTGACTGGCCGCCCCCAGGTGGTGAAGGTAGGAAACAACACCTCCACTTCGCTGATCCTCAGCACTGGTGCCCCACAAGGGTGCGGTCTCCCCAACGCATTACCGGGGGCAAACTACCCACCCTCCAGGACACCTACAGCACCCAATATCACAGGAAGGCCAAAAAGATAATTGAGTACATCAACCACCCAAGCCACTGCCTATTCACCCCGCTATCATCCAGAAGGCGAGGTCAGTACAGGTGCATCAAAGCTGGGACCGAGAGAATGAAAAACTGCTTCTATCTCAAGGCCATCAGACTGATAAATGGCCATCACTAGCAAATTAGAGGCTGCTGCCTATAGACATAGACTAGAAATCACTGGCCACTTTAAGAAATTGAATACTAGTCACTTTAATAATGTTTACATATCTTGCATTACTCATCTCATATGTATATACTGTATTCTATACTATTCTACTGTATCTTAGTCCATGCCGCTCTGTCATTACTCGTCCATATATGTAGATATTCTTAATTCCATACTTAGATTTGTGTGTATTGGGTATACAGTATGTTGTGAAATTGTTAGATATTACTGCACTGTCGGAGCTAGTGTGTATGTGCCTGGCCTGCCACAAGGAGTCGCTAGAGCGTGATGGGACAAGGACATCCCGGCCAGCCAAACCCTTCCCTAACCCAGACGACGCTGGGCCAATTATGCACCACCTCATGGGTCTCCTGGTTGCGCGACAGCCTGGGATCAAACCCGGGTCTGTAGTGCGCCACTCGGGAGGCCTAATGACTGTTTCATCAAAATTAAACTATAGTGGCCTGGAAATACAATGACATTGCTAAAGTAGACAAATAATTGGTAGAAAACGACTTTGCTATCATTATGATGTTGTCAAGCTTACTTTAGAGAGATGGCAATGTTGCCATGAGCTAGCAGTTAGTCAGAAATAGCTAGCAATGCTAACATTAGATAGCTAACATTTCAGTGCTATTCCCTCAATCTTAGCTAGCTAGCTAAAGTTATACTACATCTAAAGTCAATCTGGCGTCATCACAATGATGACCAAAGCATGTCCTACTAATAATTTGCCACCTTTTCAAACGTCACCGTTTTTCTGAGCCACAGTAATTCACTTTAGAATAAATCTTCATCAGCGCCTATTGAGACTGCATTGAGTAGAATGCTCAGCTGAGCATCAGTCCTAAAATGAACGTTCAAAACAATATTGTGACGAAACGTGCAACCGATGAATGCAACGTGCAACCCATGAACTGATAATGCGGGAGCAGATGATGACACAGTACAAGGTGCATTTGTGCTCAGCATAGCAAAATGTCAATGGATATTTCATAGGCCTAATTTCTTATAAAATGCAGAACTTGTAAACATAACTCCCTTTCCCACTGTAATACATTGATATTCAATAGCATGTATAAACAATATTCAATATCATTCCAGTAGCCTAGCCTATGAAAAGTTTTGTTTTGTTTTTGCACGGTAGCCCATCCTGTTACACCTGTATAATTGTGCCACTTATGGATTCTTATATGGGTCCTCCTGAAACATGTAACTAACATATTGACATTTGTGTTTGTGTGAATTTGTTATTTATGAAGTTACTTTCAAGAAAATAACATTGTATGTGTGAATAGTATTTACATTTATACATATTTTACATAATGTCCTTTTTGCTCGAAGATGGCAACTCCTATACAGGTATCGCCGAGGCCACAGGAAGGAAGGCCACAGGAAGGTCAGGGTGTGGTGATATGGGACTGGAGGGTCATGACTGTAGGGTGTAGAGACGAGGTTGTCTTTAGGACGCTGAAGAGCGGGTACTCTTGGTGTAGGGACGAGGTTGTCTTTAGGACGCTGAAGAGCGGGTACTCTTGGTGGAGGGGCGTGGTTGTCTTTAGGACGCTGAAGAGCGGGTACTCTTGGTGGAGGGGCGTGGTTGTCTTTAGGACGCTGAAGAGCGGGTACTCTTGGTGGAAGGGCGTGGTTGTCTTTAGGACGCTGAAGAGCGGGTACTCTTGGTGGAGGGGCGTGGTTGTCTTTAGGACGCTGAAGAGCGGGTACTCTTGGTGGAGAGGCGTGGTTCTCCGTAGGAAGATAATGAGCTAGTGCTCTTGGTGGACGGACGGTGTTGACTGTGGGTGCAGAAGGAGCGGGTTGCTCTTGAAGTTGGAGGCTTGGTGATTCAGTCATGGAGTGGTCATGGAGGAGTGATGGGTTCAGGTGGGGATTGGGACTTTAGGTGTTTGGGGAAGGAGTCCTGTTTGAGGCAGCTGGCTTGTGCAGTGCAGACCCCCATCGGAACCTGCAATAAGGATAGAGAGCAGTAGAACAAAAGGGAGGAGACGGGAGGTGGTGGGATCGCAGGAAGCAAACACACAGGTCAGGGGTGGAACAGGTGAGTATAAATGCAGCTAATGATTAGGTAGAGGGGAAAAACTGATTTGGAGATGAGGTGGCGGAGATGGAGCCAATGGCGGGAGGTGATATGGACGGTTTCTGTGATGAAGAGGGGGTTGTGAGGCACTGCATTTTGTGATAGCCGGAGGTTGAAGAGGTTGGTCAGCGGTTAGTAGGGGCTGAGGAAAGATGGAAGGCGAAACAGGAAGACGGAAGTTTTGCCGAGCTGATCTGTCTTGCTTCTTTTGAGGGTGCAGATGAGGGAGTCTTGAGATTAATAGGTGATGTCGGAGATACAGGGGTGACGGGCAGGATTGAAGGAGTTGGAAGCAGAGGCAAATTCAGGAATCCGAAGACGCGAGGAGGAACATGGTGAGGATATCTGCGGTGAGAGTAAGGGGGTGTGGAGGAAGGACCGGTTTTATTTTTTACCTTTTGAGGAGATTGTGGACTAGAGATGGCAGGGCAAGGGGCACCAGTGAGGAGTTTCACAAAGAAATCGATGCCGTCGGGGTAAACTTGGAAGGTGGACGTGCGCATGGAGAGAGAGGAATGGGCATGGGTGATGAAGCTGGTGATGGTGACAGAGGGGAAGGGGCTGTTGTAGTTGTTGTGGAAAGAGTGGAAGCATCTCCAGGATTTCCAGTAGGAAGAGAGGGTCTGGGGAGTGAGACTAAGGAGGATGGTTCGTTGGGATTGGGCGATCAGGAGGAGGAGGGAAGGGTTCAGGTGAAAATCATTTCCGAAAATGCAGGACCTGGAGTCAGGTGCAGGTTGGAGTCTGGAGCCAAGGTCCTGAATTTCTGGAAAAGAAAACGAAAAAGGGTGTCAGCGATTGAGTTGTGGTGTCTGGGTTTGTGAGCGGTGGTGATGATGAACTGTTGGGTGACAGAAATCCAGGTAAGTCTGCGAAGGAACGACATGATGGAGAGGGAGTTGGATCGGCTATTGTTGATGATATGGACTACGACAAGATTGTCTGAGTGGATGAGGACACTTTTCTGGGACCATTCGTGTCTCCACAGGGAGGCGGCGATGATGATGGGGTATAGTTCGTGAAGTGCTGAGGAGGTTTCAAGGGAGTCAAGAAAGGAGTCAAGAAAGGCGAACTCCGGAGGCTACTTAGAGGAGAACCATCTCCCTCCGATGCCGAGGGAAGGGGCAGCGCCGGTGAAGAGCTGAAAGTCTTTGGGTGAGGAGATGTGGTTGTCATAGAAGAATGTGATACTGTTCCAGTTGGTGAGGAGGAGATGCCAGGGGCGTAGTTCCATTCGACAGAGGTCATTCAAGGTGATGTTGTGGTGGAGGGAAGGAATGGAAGATGATAGGCCAGTAGGTTGGAGATGAAGGAGCAACCCTGGGGGATGTTATGCATGGCGTAGTTGAGGTGGCTGAGGAGGGAGAGAAGCTGTTGTTTGTTGCAGTGGGGGCTTTTGGAGGTGGTTGGAGGTGGTTGGAGATGATGACATGGTGCGCTTGAGTGTGTCCGGAGGTAGTGAGGTTTGGAAGGAGACTGTGTTGAGGGTGATGCCTAGAAATTCTAGGGAGTTGGATGGACCTTCTGTTTTCTCCAGAGACAGGGGGATGCCGATGGAGTTGAAAGCTGATGTGACGGTGTTGAAACCTTGTGCATGAGGGGATGATGGGTAGTCGACGGCCAGGAAGTCGTACAGGAGGTGGAGGACGTTTGGCAGTTTGTAATTGTTGGTCAGGATCCAGCAGAGTGCTTCCAAAAGGGAGTCAAGGAGCCTGGATAGTAAAGAAGAACTGGCCCTTCCAGCAGACCCGAAAAAGATGCCCAAATTCCAGGGCCAGAGGAAGGACCTTGAAGGCACAGATGATATTAGCTTTGGTGAGCTAAGCACCACATCTCGCAAGCTTGATCATAGAAATGGCGTGGTTGACTGTGTGGAACTCTAAAGAGAAGGCTTGGCTTGGGATGATGCTGTTGATACAAGGGATGTGGCTGTTGCGGGGGCAGAGAGGTTGATAATGAGTCATTTCTTTCAGTAGTACTTACGTGTTGCTATCCCTATGGGGCTGATCCTGTAGATGGGGAAGGGTGGTGATGAGAAGGGGCCGATCATTAAGCTTTCTTTAAACTTCTTAGCAAGAAGGGTTTCCACTGATGCGTGATCTGTGCTTGCGGTATGGAGGTTGTGGCATGTGAAGGATGATGATGGCAGAGTAATGAGACTGGGGGAGAAACCATGAGTGAGGCATTTGAGGAGGAACTGAATGAAGGGGATATTGAGGTAAGATGAGAGTTTGGCTGGATGTTGATGGGGTTAGAGAGGTGGTTTGTCGGTCATAATTGCTTGGATTTGAAGGGGTTGTGGGTATCAAGGTTGCGGGGGAAGGTATGACCGGTGTAGGCCATGGCACAGATGGAGAAGACATTGAGCAACTTGCAGGAGGAAGCATTGCAGCGGAGTGCATTAAAGTTATTGCACACTATGCGGCCCCCAGAGAACTTGATGGGACGCCCTTGTTGGTTGATGTCGGTCCATAGGAGCGGATTGGGGACCTGATTGATCAGGGGGCTGGAAGGGCCAGACGGAGGTTCTGGTGTGGTGTGGAGAGGAAGTCTTTGGAGCGTGGCTGGAACAGCGAGTGCCGGGGTGGGAGGAGAAGTTGCAGAGGGGGCACAGAACACCTGGGAGCTTGGCGGTGTTCCTGCAATATAGCTTGTTATCGATAGTACCCTAGTAGGTGCCTTCATTGAGCTGTTGCACCCGGCTGGCGGCCGCGACGGAGAACAGGTGGTAGGAATGGAAGGCGGAGCCACCGAACTGGGCAGCCAGGGAGGTTGGGGGCCGAGAGAGAATCCATCCCCCATCCAGAGCTTGGATTAGGCAGGGGATGGAGAGAGGGGGGGAAGGGTGAAGCATCTGGTTGCATCTGCCATTAGTTGGGAAAGAGGATTGGTAGATGGGAAGATCGGGTTAGGGGGGACGCTGGGGTTACATTGGGGAAAGAGAAAAAGCATCCATCCCCAAGCCATGGCTGTGATTAGGCAGGGGATAGAGAGGGAGGGAAGGCTGCAGCCATACCCGTTAAGGCTTCCGCATGCTTCGGTTCGGCTGGCGCCTAGGCGAACTTGGCTAGGTAAGCCGAACAAGTGTGTTCGCACACTCCCTTAAAAGACCATTGCTTGAAAAAATAGTACTGTTTGCCCATCTTGAGACACCGTAGCCAGTATACACTTCCTCATAACTCAAGAAATCTGTCATTCATTTTGAAGTTTTTGCAGAGGAGATCTTAGTGGCGCAATATTACATCTAACTAAGATGTTTGGTGCAGTGTTGCTCAAGATGAGCATGAAAAGAAGTAATCTATCGTTGAATGACAACAAACACTTAATTGAAGAATCCCTACTGTTGACCAGTGACCGACCAAGGGCTGTAGACTGACCAGAATTCGTCTTGCCTCGAGAATGTTTTTTGTTTTCATGAACAGCAGAAAAAATAACCTTGCTGAAGACCAAAATGAACAAAAACATCACAACATGTCGTCATAATATATGATAATATATGCACAAACTGTTCCAAACTGTTTCAAATGGAAAGCGTGAGGACGCTCTTATAAGACCACTTACATACATCTACGTATGGGTGTGCAAGTTGTATATTATTATTATTATTTATTTTTTCTCCATTGTTACTTTATCATCTCTAGTAACCCAGTATACTTTCCCTCACCAATTCCTCCTTTAGATTAGTGTTCTATTCATACAGGGGTTTAGATATTTACACAAGCTGTTCTATTTAACAGAATATTCGGGAATAATACTATTTTCTTTCATATCTCCATACAGAATCCCTATATAACGTTATAAATCTTTAGTTATTCACATCCACATCACAGCAACGACCACAGCGCAGCAGCCTGAGAGGTACACATATCTTTCATATTGAGGAAATCAGTGTCTGGGGGCTGTTACCCTCTCGAATCTTTCAATGGCTTCTCCTGTCAGTGCTCACTACCTGTAGATCGATGGGCGGTGTTGGACAGAACCCCTAGATAACGTTATAGATCTAAAAACTCAGCTTACAGAACTGGTTGGGGTATTTATTATTTTCCCTATATAACTATACTTAGGTATTCACACCCACACCACTCCATGTGCATCTATGCACCATATGTATCTTCAACGGTTCTAGCCTCCCAGAGACAGTGGTCCCAGACCACATAGACAATTCAGAAATGCCTATAGACTGCCACTTCCTATAAAACTAAATAACCCTCCGTATTCAAAAACACCTTGTGTTATTTGTAGTGGCTGCAGACCACGTAGACATATTCTTATAAATGCCTACAGACAGCTGTCAGCGGGGCTTTCCATGGTACCATTACGCCCTCGCTCTAGTCTTCTCATTAGACTAGTAAATAACCTTCTCTCTACCTTTTTATGCGTTACTCGCATTGATTTTATTTTTTATCATTTATTTGTATTTTTATGCTGATTCATTTAAATTGACTTACTGAAATCAGTTGCCGTCCCTCAATTGTTTGCGGATTATGTGTCTCCTCCTGGGCAGCTAACAGTAAGGTTCTGGTCTGGGTGGGTCTCGTCGTCTTTTGGTCAGATGGGTATTTCCCTCACGCTTCATAAAATGCGCCACCGGTTTTCCTCGCAGACCCCCACTGGAAAGCTCTGCAGGCAGAATAAATTATCCATTGCCATGGAAATGTTTACACAGGTACACTCTAAATCAATCTTAAATGAATTATTGTTTATTAACAGTTAACTGGAGAGGTTCCAACAAACTTGATGCACCATAGTGAACATCTGTCTCGAGCGCTAACGGGGCAGTCCCATTTAGTTCCATTATATACTGGTTACAGAGACGTTACATAGGCATAGTTCATAGGGTCTCCTAACTTAACTTAAAGAACATATTCTGGGCGTTCTGCCAAATGGTCTAAAGGAGGAGGTCATTTCCTTATTTTGGGGGCTTTCATCAAACTAAGTGGTGCCTGGTGTAATGTGACTATCATGATTGCACTTTATAGAGTACGTGTCTTCCTGCAGCATAGCATCTTGGGGAATGTTGGGGTCTGGTCCAATATTGGCTATGCACCCAAGAAGTGGTTGGGCCATCCTAGAACATTTCTAGAGTATGACCAGTGGTGATCCGTCATTTATGTGTTCTGAGCCCCACATAAAAAACAAAAATAAAACATTATATATATATTTTTTGGGGGGTGTTACCTGTTTTGCATGTTATTTTGCATTAATACGTGTCACATATCAGTTTGCAAACGATGTGAATACAGCCTCCATACAAACATGGTGTCTTTTTTGCTTTCTTGAGTAAGGCAGCTCCAAAATGCAGGTGTTTCAGCCTAGCTCAGTGCTTTCTGTGGTGGTAGGGCAGCCAGCGGAAAATATGGAGCATAGGGGTTGGTAATGTTATCTAATTGCGCCGTGATTGGCTCAGTTTTCTGTCACTCATGGGGACACTCCGTCACTGCCAAATCTAAGGGTAGAGCTCGAAAATTCAAGCCCCTTGGGTGCTGCCATGGAGTTACATTAGAAGTGCCCATCCAAGAAGGCTCAAGGTCATTGGCCACAGATAAAATGACGTCAAATCACATTATATCTACAGTAGCTTTGATTGGACTGATCATGTCAAAATCATACTTTCAAAATCTTAGCTAGCAGCCATCATCATGAATCAAGTCGACAATATACTGGCAAATCCTTTTTAATCCTTGTCATACTGTATGAAGAGAAATAATGAAGAGAAATTATACATAAAACGTATCAGTTCTATTCGGCCATTGGACATAAACATTACACAACAAGTTGGAAATCGCAAATTCAACAATGAGTGGTATGGAAGGAATCAGTGGCTAACTGCAAGCATTGCAAAGCAATCACTAGCCTGCTATTCAGTGGAGTGGGTGTGTGGTCCCAATTCTTGGTTTAAGGTTCTCTTTTCCAAGCTTAAAATTATAAACATTCAACATTGGCCATGCTGTCAATCCATCATGATTTCTGCCACGCTCAAAACAACTGTTAACTCAGAACTGGAAAATCTGACTTCAGTGAGTTCAAGACAACTGCGAACTCAGGAAAAAACTAGCTCCGACTTGGAAAATACGTTTTGAACGGCCATCCAACTCGGAATTGTAAGTCAGGAACTCGGGCCTCTTTCTAGAGCTATGACCTGAAGATCACTGACATCATCATGATTTGACCTTGTTTTTTTCCGAGTTCCCAGTTGTCTTGAAAGCACCATAAATCCAGAGAATGCCAGACTTTGATGGCAAAGTTTGATGACAAAATTTGCACACGAAGGACCGCCGCGCCACCTTCCAGTTCAATGAGCACAGCACAACAAGGTCAGTCCAAAAATGTATTGTATGCTGCTGCATGAATGATGTAATATGCCAGGGAGATATGTATACTGTAGCTAAGAAAGTAATACTAAGTGTATGTTGTGTAGTAAACTGTTAGTAGCCCATGTACCTCACCCTAATCATTTGGTCTATTTTCCCCTCTTAAATTAAATTAAATTGGTGGTGCACATGTAGCCTATAACCTGTTTTAGAGGAATGTAATCATCAAATATTATAAGAGCTTTCATTGTCTGCTTATATGCCCCCTTTATTTATCCTACGGTTCTGACTTGACGTACAGGGAGAACACTGTAAGAACGGCCCATGTTCTGAATTCTGTCGATGTACATTTCAAAAGTGCTAAACAAATAGTTATGTTGACTACGTCCGTCCTAGCTCGCTCATTAATGTCTTAATCAAAATTACGGATTGCCTCTTATCCGCCTTTTGTCCCCTTATGCCATAGTTTGTACATCTCAATTGTTAGTAGAAACCACGTTTGTTTAAACCTCCCATTGTCCTAGGGTCAAAATGACCCGCACTGTGTTGAACCAACTTTATTTAATTTTTTTATTTTTGGGATCATTTGTGAGAAGGAGGCAGTGAGACTTTAAAGAAACTATCACTGCCTCCTTCTCACAAATGATCCAAAAAATATAAAAATTTAATAAAGTTGGTTCAACACAGTGGCGGGTCATTTTGACCCTAGGACAACGGGAGGGTTAAGCAAGTCAGCCATATCAGCTATGTTTTTTTAAAAGGCAGTAAATGAGGCTAAATGAACTGTGTTGCTGCCAGACAAGGCTCCGCTGATAGCCAGGTGTAGCAGTGGTAAGGTTTTGGGACTGCTGTTGGGACTCTGCTGTTGGGACAGCTTTATGTAGGCACTAACAGTTTGTGGGCACCATTTGTCACCGTTATAGTGCAATTAATGTATTGTTTAGTGTTGTGTTGTGTAGCGGCTTTGCTGGAATGCGTCCCCCAATTTTTGTTTTGTTTGCCCCACCAAGATTTACATGCTAAAATCGCCACTGAGTATGACATGACAAGGTTATAGAGGCTTTGTGAAGCGTCAATGTAATAGGATTTATAAAGCCTTTATTAAGCGGTGCATATGTCACTGGTTCATGTCTAATTTGACATAGTGGGTTATGTCACATTTGACATTGGTGGTTGTCACCTGGTAGAGTTGGTATACAGAAGCTAGCCCTATTTGGTAAAAGACCAATCCATATTATGGCAAGAAAAGCTCAAATAAGCAAAGAGAAACAACAGTCCATCATTACTTTAAGACATGAAGGTCAGTCAATACAGAACATTTCAAGAACTTTGAAAGGTTCTTCAAGTGTAGTTGCAAAAACCATCAAGCGCTATGATGAAACTGGCTCTCATGAGGACTGCCACAGGAAAGGAAGACCCAGAGTTACCTCTGCTGCAGAGGATAAGATCGTTAGATTTACCAGCCTCAGAAATTGCAGCCCAAATAAAAAGTAACAGACACGTCTCAGCATCAACTGTTCAGAGGAGACTGCGTGAATCAGGCCTTCAAAGTCGAATTGCTGCAAAGAAACCACTACTAAAGGACACCAATAATAAGAAGAGACTTGCTTGGGCCATGAAACACGAGCAATGGACATTAGATAGGTGGGAATCTGATTTGGTCTGATTAGTCCAAATTTGAGAATTTGGGTTCCAACCGCTGTGTCAGACACAGAGTAGGTGAACGGATGATCTCCACATGTGTAGTTCCCACCGTGAAGCATGGAGGAGGAGGTGTTATGGTGTGGGGGTGCTTTGCTGGTGACACTGTCTGTGATTTATTTAGAATTCAAGGCACACTTAACCAGCATGGCTACCACAGCATTCTGCAGCGATACGCCATCCCATCTGGTTTGCGCTTAGCGGGACTATCATTTGTTTTTCAACAGGACAATGACCCAACACACCTCCAGGCTGTGTAAGGGCTATTTGACCAAGAAGAAGAGGTGATGGAGTGCTGCATCAGATGACCTGGCCTCCACAATCACCCGACCTCAACCCAACTGAGATGGTTTGGGATGAGTTGGACGGCAGAGTGACGGAAAAGCAACCAACAAGTGCTCAGCATATGTATGAACACCTTCAAGACTGTTGGAAAATAATTCCAGGTGAAGCTGGTTGAGAGAATGCCAAGAGTGTGCAAAGCTGTCATCAAGGCAAAGGGTGGATACTTTGAAGAATCTAAAATGTTAAATATATTTTGTATTTGTTTAAAACGTTTTTGGTTACTACATGATTACGTATGTGTTATTTCATAGTTTTGATGTCTTCACTATTATTCTACAATGTAGAAAATAGTAAAAACAAAGAAAAACCCTTGAATTAGTAGGTATGTAGGTGTTGCTCATCATTAAGCTCGAGGCCCTGGGTCTGAACCCCGCCCTGTGCAACTGGGTCCTGGACTTCCTGACTGGTCACCCCCAGGTGGTGAAGGTAGGAAACAACATCTCCACTTCGCTGATCCTCAACACTGGGGCCCCACAAGGGTACGTGCTCAGCCCCCTCCTGTACTCCCTGTTCACCCATGACTGCGTGGCAAAGCACGCCTCCAACTCAATCATCAAGTTTGCAGAAGACACAACAGTAGTAGGCTTGATTACCATCAATGACGAGACCGCCTACAGGGAGGAGGTGAGGGCTCTGGGAGTGTGGTGCCAGGAAAATAAACTCTCACTCAACATCAACAAACAAAGGAGATGATCGTGGACTTCAGGAAACCACCCCCCCCCCCCCCCCCCCCCCTATCCACACCGACGGGACCGCAGTGGAGAAGGTGGAAAGCTTCAAGTTCCTTGGCGTACACATCACTGACAAACTGAAATGGTCCACGCACGCAGACAGTGTGGTGAAGAAGGCGCAACAGAGCCTCTTCAACCTCAGGAGGCTGAAGAAATTTGGCTTGGCACCTAAAACCCTCACAAACTTTTACAGATGCACAACTGAGAGCATCCTGTCGGGCTGTATCACCGCCTGGTACGGCAAGTGCACTGCCCGCAACCGCAGGGCTCTCCAGAGGGTGGTGCGGTCTGCCGAACGCATTACCGGGGGCAAACTACCCGACCTCCAAGACACCTACAGCACCCGATGTCACAGGAAGGCCAAAAACATCATCAAGGACATCAACCACCCGAGCCACTGCCTGTTCACCCCGCTATCATCCAGAAGGCGAGGTCAGTACAGGTGCATCAAAGCTGGGACCGAGAGAATGAAAAACAGCTTCTATCTCAAGGCCATCTAACTGTTAAATAGCCATCACTAGCACATTAGAGGCTGCTGCTGCCTGTTGGAATCACTGGCCACTTTAAGAAATGGAACACTAGTCACTTTAACAATGTTTACATATCTTGCACTACTCATCTCATATGTATATACTGTATTCTATTCTAGAATATTCTACTGTATCTTAGTCCATGCCACTCTGTCATTGCTTGTCCATATATGTATATATTCTTAAATTCCATTCCTTACTAGATTTGTGTGTTTTGGGTATATGTTGTGAAATTGTCAGATATTACTTGTTAGATATTACTGCACTGTCGGAGCTAGAAGCACAAGCATTTCGCTACACCTGCAATAACATCTGCTAAACACGTGTATGTGACAAACAAAATTTGATTTGATTTGATTTATGTCCAAACTATTGACTGGTACTGTACATTGTAAAGGAAAACAGTAATTTATATGGTACATTTGTGTATTATCAACAGTAAAATGGTGTGAAACCTTTTACTGCAGCTTACTGTAAATTATGGTGCATTGTGGGAAAATGTTTTGGGCAGTGAAAAGATTGCTGTATTAATTGTACTGAAAAAAAAAATATAATTTTAATATAATTTTTCCTTGAGTTTTGGGCTTAGAGTGACAAAAAGTAGCTAACAGCTAACTGCTCTCTCATGTCTCTTCTTTGAGCATAGCAGCCCAAACGGAACCATTGCTATGGATACTCACATACTCAGAGACACCATGAGCAGAGCGCATGCAGAGCAAGCTGCACGCAGGGTGCGAGTGACAGACAGAGAGGAGCAGCTAATGGATTTACTAATGGATAAAGTTATTTCTGATTTCGGGTTTCAGGCAAGGCCGGGCCTTGAATTTGGTAGAAGGAATCGGGCCTAGGTAGGGTAGGGGCCTGAACGTTGCGGGCATGGGTAGGGCTTAAATGTTATGAACAGTCAAAATCATGTTTCCATGAAATTGGATGATACTGTATTTGGATGAAACCAGATGAAAGTATGATGACCAAAGTATGAAAAATGACTGTTGCTTGTACATTGATAAAGTACGATCATAAAGTTACTGGTCCCCTCCCCATGTCAAACACTTAGATTCAGAAAGCGGGATTATTAAGTGTATAGGGTGACATCACCCTAACTCTCATTTTAATACACCAATGGTAACATGATATTCTCTTACCTAATTTAAATAAGTACCGTCTTGTAACTAATATCGGAGAAGGCGTGTTTTTGGAAGGGCGTGGTTTACAGAATTTAGCTAGATAGCTAATCTACTAGTGCCAGAATCTGACTGCAGGGTGTCAGCAAATACACTACATGACCAAAAGTATGTGGACACATGCTCGTTGAACATCTCATTCCAAAATCATAGGCATTCATATGGAGTTGGTCCCCCCTTTACTACTATAACAGCCTCCACTCTTCTGGGAAGGCTTTCCACTAGATGTTGGAACATTGCTGTGGGGACTTGCTTCCATTCAGCCACAAGAGCATTAGTGAGGTCGCGCACTGATGTTGGGCGATTAGGCCTGGCTCGAAGTCGGCCTTCCAATTCATCCCAAAGGTGTTCGATGGGGTTGAGGTCAGGGCTCTGTACAGGCCAGTCAAGTTCTTCCACACTGATATTGACAAACCATTTCTGTATGGACCTTGCTTTGTGCATGGGGGCATTGTCATGCTGAAACAGGAAAGGGCCTTCCCCAAACTGTTGCCACAAAGTTGGAAGCACAAAATCGTCTGGAATGTCATTGTATGCTGCAGCATTAAGATTTCACTTCACTGGAACTAAGGGGCCTAGTGCGAACCATGAAAAACTGCCCCAGACCATTATTCCTCCAAACTTTACAGTTGGCACTATGCATTGGGGCAGGTAGCGTTCTTCTGGCATCTGCCAAACCCAGATTTGTCCGTTGGACTGTCAGATGGTGAAGCGTGATTCATCACACCAGAGAATGTGTTTCCACTGCTCCAGAGTCCAATGGCAGCGAGCTTTACACCACTCCAGCCGATGCTTGGCATTGCGCATTGTGATCTTAGGCTTGTATGTAGCTTCTCGGCCATGGAAACCCATTTCATGAAGCTCCCGACGAACAGTTATTGTGCTGACGTTGCTTCCAGAAGCAGTTTGGAACTCGGTAATGAGTGTAGCAACCGAAGACAGACGATTTTTACAAGCTACGCGCTTCAGCACCCGGCAGTCCTGTTCTGTGATCTTGTGTGGCCTACCACTTCGCGGCTGAGCCGTTGTTGTTCCTAGACGTTTTCACTTCACAATAACAGCACTTACAGTTGATCAGGGTAGCTCTAGCAGGGCGGAAATTTGACAAACTGACTTGTTGGAAAGGTGGCATCCTAGGTTACACATTGAAAGTCACTGAGCTCTTCAGTAAGAGGACGACACAACAGTGGTAGGCCTGATCACCGACAACGATGAGACAGCCTATAGCAGGGGTGTCAAACTCATTTTAGCTCAGGGGCCACATGGAGGAAAATCTATTCCCAAGTGGGCCGGACCGGAAAAATCATGGTATATATAACTTAAAAACAACAACTTCAGATTGTTTTCTTTGTTTTAATACGATCAACATACAACATAAAGCTGGAGCCTGAGGACAGTGTGTCCAAAATAGTACAAGCACAACATCACTATTAATCATAAAACACGTCAAGTTTATTTGAAAATTCTAAAGAAAAAGAACACACAAACACACAATGCCTCAGTGATTAACAGAACTGTTTCACAGATCACAGAACTATATCAGGGTGTCATTTCTCAGGCAGAAATGTAGATAAAAATTATGAAATCCTGTTCCCCAAACAAGTGCAAGAACCACAGAGTCAAGAATAGGTTAAATATACAAATAAAATAAAATCAATTAAAAACAATAGCACATCAACATAAAAACATATAAACATAAAGCTGGAGTCTGAGGACAGTGTCCAAAAGCACAACATCACTATTAATCATAAAACACCTCAAGTTATTTGAAAGTTCTGAGGACAAAGAACACACAAACACACAATGCCTCATGAAAATGGCCAGTTGTGCAACATCTGTAATGTCCGTGCTTTCATCAATTGCAACCGAAAACGCAATAAATGACTTTACTTTTTGCTTCAACTGGCTGTCCAAATCCACTGAAAGATCTGCAACTGTGTTTCTTGTCAGGCTGATATTTGCAAAAACCTGCCGCTTTTCAGGGCACACAATCTCCGCTGCCTTCATCATGCATGTTTTTACAAATTCACCCTCACTAAATGGTTTTGAAGCCACTGCGATTTCATTAGCAATGAGGTAGCTAGCTTTCACTGCAGCGTCACTGATGTCTCGGCTGTGAGTAAACACAGACTGCTGTTTCTTCAGACCCGCCAACAGTTCATTCACCTTCTCTCATCTCCGCTGTCCTTGAAAGTTGTCATATTTGTCGGCATGAAGACTCACATAGTGGCGACGAAGGTTATATTCTTTCAGCACTGCAACATGCTCTGAACACACCAAACATACAGCTTTCCCATTCAATTCCGTGAATAAATAGGATGACAATTTTTCTTGGAACAATCTGCACTCTGCGTCCACTTTTCTCTTTTTTGACAGAGACATATTGGGGCAATGAGGGTGCCAAAGCACATAATGTTAAAAGTAGAAGCCGTAATAAATATTGCGGGCAAAACAAAGTAGCTCATTGGCTGCACGTGCTTGACCTACTTGCTCTGCCCCGGTATAAACAGTTTGCTTGCTTAACACAATTGCTATTGCGCCATCCAGTGGACGCAATTGGAACAGCAGTTTATTTTATAGAAAAATTGCAGCGCATTTTTATACTTTACAAAAAAAAAAAAAAAAAACGTTTTTTTCCTTTTTTTTTTTCTTTTCTTCAAAATCATCTCGCGGGCCGGATTAAACCCGTTTGCGGGCCTGATCCGGCCCGCGGGCCGTACGTTTGACACCCCTGGCCTATAGGGAGGAGGTCAGAGACCTGGCCGTGTGGTGCCAGGATAACAACCTCTCCCTCAACGTGACCAAGACAAAGGAGATGATTGTGGACTACAGGAAAAAAAGAGGACTGAGCACGCCCCCATTCTCATCGACGGGGCTGTAGTAGAACAGGTTGAGATCTTCAAGTTCCTTGGTGTCCACATCACCAACTTACTATCATGGTCCAAACACACCAAGACAGTCGTGAAGAGGGCACAACAAAGCCTATTCCCCCTCAGGAGACTGAAAAGATTTGGCATGGGTCCTCAGATCCTCAAAAAATTATACAGCTGCACCATCGAGAGCATCCTGACTGGTTGCATCACCGCCTGGTATGGCAACTGCTTGGCCTCCGACCGCAAGGCACTACAGAGGGTAGTGCGTACGGCCCAGTACATCACTGGGGCCAAGCTTCCTGCCATCCAGGACCTCTATACCAGGCGGTGTCAGAGGAAGGCCCTCAAAATTGTCAAAGACTCCAGCCACCCTAGTCATAGACTGTTCTCTCTGCTACCGCACGGCAAGCGGTACCGGAGTGCCAAGTCTAGGTCCAAAAGACTTCTCAACAGCTTCTACCCCCAAGCCATAAGACTCCTGAACAGCTAATCATGGCTACCCGGATTATTTGCACTGCCCCCCCACCCTCACCCCCCACCCCATCCTTTTTACGCTGCTGCTACTCTGTTAATTATTTATGCATAGCCACTTTAACTCTACCCACATGTACATATTACTTCAACTACCTCAACTAGCCGGTGCCCCCGCACATTGACTCTGCACCGGTACCCCCCTGTATATATAGCCGCCCTACTGTTATTTTATTTTACTTCTGCTTTTTTTTTTCTCAACACTTTTTTGTTGTTGTTTTATTTTACTTTTTTATTAAAAATAAATGCACTGTTGGTTAAGGGCTGTAAATAAGCATTTCACTGTAATGTCTGCACCTATTGTATTCGGCGCATGTGGCCAATAACATTTGATTAGATTTTATTTGATTCTACTGCCAATGTTTGTCTATGGAGATTGCATGGCTGTGTGCTCGATTTTATACACCTGTCAGCAACGGGTGTGGCTGAAATAGCCAAATCCACTAATTTGAAGGTGTGTCCACATACATTTTGTATATATAATTTACACAATAAGTTTACATTATTCATCAATGGCATAGATACTTATATGTCTCCCCTTTCATCTGTGTCTGGTGTTAGCTAGTTACTGGCTAGCTAGTTCTTCAGCTAGCATGGAACAAAAGGGGGGGAAGGGTCGTTCAAAACGCTGACACAGTTGTCATGTCAATACGTCATTCAGTGCTGCTGTGAATTGCATTCCAAGAGACATGCCAAATGGGAGATGTATACAAACATTTGACATCATTGATGCAATTTCAATGTTGCTTTGTGGATCACCAAATTTGCTTGACAGGAGATTACAGCAACACTGCTCACTGCATTCAAGTTTCTTGACGTAGGCGTTTCAAAGAACTGTCAGTCAAGGCGAGCTCATGAATATAAACTCCCAGCCCACTCAACCTGTCTTTTCAAACTTCCTGGTAGTTAGTCATGAGAGAAGTACAAAAAAACAAAAAAAAACAAAGTGTTTCCATCCCCTAAAAATATTATGGGTCATATTTTAGTCTTTCATAATGCTATTTTACATGGGAATCAGAATGGCTGTTCGGGACCTTTAAAATTAATGCTGGTGAAGGGCTCTACAAGAAGTTGCAAGTTCAATTCCCCAGAGCATTCATGAACACTTCCCGTCGAGTGTCCTTGATAGTCGTACAGTTATTGACTTGATATTGGGCAACTTTTAGCAAAGTGCAGAAATGTATTCTTGCAAATAAATCTGTGGCCAATCTCTATCACGCCCACAGATATGGTGGTGTAGCAGGGAATTTCACATTGCTGGCAACCAAGAGTGTACTGTAATCAGAATACAGCAACATACTGTCATGAAACAGCAATAACACCTTCAAGTTGTCGTATATGTACTTTATTTTTCTATTGTATTCTCACTGACCTGGTGGCGTTGCAGGAAATTCAAGTAGTTACCAACCAATAGGTTGTGAGTTCAAATCCTAAGTGATGTATAGTCCCAATTTATTAGCATTCAGTAGCAAAAACATCTTAATTTAATAGTAAAAACACACTAACTTATTGTATATTTACCGTATTTTCACGGCAACCAGTAGCCAGTAGTGTACCGTAAAATTAAATAAATGTTTTAATAGTGCAGTTAACTGTAAGTTACCGCAAAAAAACGGTACCAAAGATTACAGTAAGAGTATTTGTTACCATAAAGTGACTACAGTAGCATTATTGGTACCATAAATCTATTACAGTAACAGTATTGGATACCGTGAAATACAGCACGGTAACATACTGTACCTTTTTTTTATGGTACCTTTTTTTCTTACAGCTGCCAGTACGTTACTGTAAAAACAAAATTATTTTTTTACAGTTTAGCAGCCAACCTGCTTGCACCAATCCAATATTATTACAGTAAAATACTGTGAATCACAAACCCCATCTCCCGTCAATGAATTTAATCAATGAATTTGTTCATTCACTATGAGTACCGTAGCATTTACTTTTGTACAGTATAATAGAGTCAATTTTACCATATTGTACTGTGTTGTCATTACACAGTACATGCTTTGATACTGTATTTAGATTACAGTAGGTGTAAGTTACTGTCAAATTCACGGCAACCCCTTTACAGTATACCCAGGCCACCTAACCCCACCCTGAAGATAATCATGGAGTCTACGTCAGCCCTAAGCTGCTTAAGGAAGTGGGGGAAGAAGCTGGCTGATCTGGTTGGGTGGAAGACACAGTTTAAGCCTCTTTATCCCTACACTGTTCTGCTATATACCTTTAGGCTATGCTATGTGGTAAATGCTCTGTGCTCTCTGCCTGCTGTTTGCTGTCTTGACCTCGACCCTGAAGACTGAAATGAACACCTGTGATACAGGTTCTATTCTTGAAGCGTCACCTCTGCTCTGGAGGTCTGGGATGTCCACTTGAAGGAGATCTACAGGAGGAGATTCCTTTGGAAATCTACATCACGCTCTGTCTTTGGATCTTTACATGACACGTGATGGTGGATGTCTGACATGTTCACAGCTCTGAGATTTTCGAGGCCTGTACCCACGTTTCCGTCGATGTCTTCTGCGCTGGAGGTTTGAAGTGTCCTGGTAGACGTGAAAGCCATCCTAGGATTCTGGCTGAGTTGTATTTAGAGTGTTGTACCCTGCTCTGTGGGAAGGCTGAGGAGGAACCGGGCAACATGCCCACCCTCAACAGACTGGGCAAGCTGTGTAGCTCCAACCGTAGCCACACAGTGGACCGCCTCACCCACATCAAACATAGAAACTCAGTCAAGCGCATGTCCATCATTGAGGATGGGCAAGTGGCTGAGGTGCTCTACCTCATTCCCAAAGTGTACATGCAGCAGCTGCCGTACCTCAACCCTAACGACTATTACCTGAGTGAGAGACTTATCGATCTGGCACCAGGTAGGGCTATGGTATGGGGTAGGAGGAGCCGGCAGGGAAAATCTGTTTTTTCTGTCTGCCTGTCTGTCTGTCTGTCTGTCTGTCGGTCTGTCTGTCTGTCTGTCTACTGGTCTGTCTGTCTTTGTGTCTGCCTGCCAGCCTGCTTGCCTGCCTGTATCTATTAATCTCTTCACTCTTCACTTCATTAGTCACTTTGAACTGGGTATTGTTTTTCAGAGTTATACAACTAGCTCTACATACTTTTTGAGTACTGTTTGATATTAGCATTAAGTGCTGTGGTCCAAGTGCAGCATCAGTCAAAGCTCAGCGTGCTGTTTGTGAGTAGGCGGAATAAAGCAGATTATGAAAGTGAATTGATAAGGTGTTGTAAAGAGATTACTTCATTTTAATTGTGTTGAAAGTCAATAATTATACTACTTCAGGCAGTCCAGCACTGGCCTGTGTGTGTGTGTGTCTGTGTGAGTGCGCGCATGTGTGTGTCTGTGTGCATGTCCACGTGTGTGTGGTGTGTTACGCAATCATATCTTATTGACTCCAAAAAACTGTTATTGCAGAGAAGTCAAAAATGTATTGCTGTCTTCTCGGAATTTATGTAATATAAAACTTATGTGGGGAAAAGGGCCACAGTCTGCCAAGTAAGGAACCAACATGGTGGTTTACATCAGGATTACAGTGTGGATGAGGACTATCCAGACCTTATTCATCCATTGCCTGCACGCCAGGCTGTGAGATATGGTCTGTGTCCCAAATGGCACCCTATTCCCTATATAGTGCACTACTTGAAGTTGATCAGTTGAAAACAATCGATCGTTGGTCCATCCTCAGTGGTGGACAGCGTTTTCTTATGCTAGATATGTACATCTAGCCACAGCAGGGGGGGAAAGTTGCAATGACTTCATTATGACATGGTCAGGTTGTAAACTTGTTGTATAAAGACGTTTTTCAACATCTTTTAGATGGTTGTTAGGTCGTGACATGTCACACTTTAACGTACAGCGTCAGCGGAGTCAGTTTTTTCAACTCTTCTCATTTTTACATTTTAGTCATTTAGCAGACGCACTTATCCAGAGCGACTTACATGAGCAATTAGGGTTAAGTGCCTTGCTCAAGGGCACATCGACAGATTTTTCAACTAGTCGGCTCGGGGAGTAGAACCAGCGACCTTTTGTTTACTGGCACAACGCTCTTAATCACTAAGCTACCTGCCACCCCAATACTATTGGTCCATTACCATGTCAATCAATGCTGAATCGAAACCTAGATCACACCCCGGATTTTGATGCCAACACATTCGCTACAGTCCCATTAGTTTTCATTGCAGCCTCGTTTGAATGCCTCGGTTGCCCACATATGTACGGAACGGAGTTAGCTACCGTTACCTAGCTAGCTGGCTACATGTCTTAAGCTAAAGTGTACAACACCCGTTGAATATGGCCGGTGTCAGTACACATCGTCAAAAAAGCATAATGAAATTGTTGCCAGCAGAGCTGGTTAGGCTGTTTTCATGTTATCCAGAGGTAAACAAATCATTGGCCAGAACGTCAAGTATGCGCTCTGAACGCTCCGAGAGCGAAACGAGATGAGTGGGGCTAAAGCTTAAGAGGGTGTGAATGATGCTGAATGGGTATAGACAAAGAGGTTGTCTATATAATATATAACATTCTTGCTACCAATAGAATGTTATTTATATGGGGGATACAATCTTCCCAGCTCTGCAGATTTTGCTGCGAAGAGACAGAATCATTAGATCATTTGTTTTGGTACTGTCCATTTGTAGCTTGTTTTTGGACACTGGTCCAGGAATGGCTAAAGGATTGCAATATTTACCTGGAGCTAACCCTGCAGATAGCACTACTGGGTGATCTGAAAAGTCATAGTCAATCAATCAATAACATAATAATACTATTAGCAAAAATGTTTATTTTCAATTCACAATCTGTAGAAACAATGAGAATAGAAAGGTTCAGAACTGTTGTAAGACATCACAGTACAGTTGAAATATATATATGGCAAATAGAATTCCTATATGGATGGTGTTAAAAGATAGATGGGAGGTGTTGAATGGAATTGAAGGATGGGACTAATAACAACTAACAACAAACAATAACAAGATAACTAATAATGTAGGCACGCTGTATCCATAATAACTATATGGGTTGTAGGTTGGGAGCTTTTGTGAAGGAGCACAGTTGGAAAGATATGGCATATAGAAGCAAACCGGATGGACATCATGAAAATGATCGGAGAGGTTGAGAGTAGAAGAAGTTCAGGAGAAAGAACAAACAAAATGTAATTATTGTAAAATTGACTGTTTCCATAAAATGTAGATAGTGGGTATGGGCTGAAAGTAGAGGCCTAGGCGTTGTTGTTCACTAGTTTACTCCAAGTGGGGAAAGGGTGGCGGGGTTGGAAAGTAATAAAGGGAAATATATATATTTTTAAAAAGGATATGTATGTATGTATGTAGGTATGTATGTGGGTGTGTATGTGTGTGTGTATGTGTGTATATGTATATGTATATGTGTATGTATGTGTGTATGTGTGTGTATATATATATATATATATATATATATATATATAGTAATAAAGGGTATATATATATAAACATGGGGGATTGGAAGTGATGCAGACAATTACATTGATGGAAGTTACAATCTAATATTAAGCTGATCAACCCCCCCCCCCCCCCCCCCAAAAAAAAAGAAAAGAAAAGAAAAAGAAGAGCTCTTCGCTAGATACCAAAACATTCAAATTCCATTTTCTCAAAAGTGAGTTTACAAGTTTATCAACTTTCAAAGCAGAATTACTTACCCATTGTTCCTAAAATGCAGTGTATGATATACCATTTAGTAGCTCTTATCCAATGTAAAAAATACGATTTCAAATTTTGCTACATAAGACCAAATCCAGGTGGTGAGTCACATATAGTGCACTAAATAGGAAAAAGGATACCATTTGAGACGTACCTCAGATTGAAAGATGTGCATGATAACTAACTCGCTCTTATCACATGGCCATTATCTCTGTTTTGTAATACATTATACTATCAGAAGCCAACCCCCCATCAATGTCCAAAGATAGATAGAGAGCCAATGGCTGCACTTTAATTAAGAGCAGGATTAGAATTAATCCCAGTTTGTGTTGGGTTATTGTAATAATCAGTGGTGGATTTACCATTAGGCAGAAGAGGCAATTACCTCAGGCCTCACATCATCAAGGGACCTCATGAGCTGGGCATAATAAAAAAAAATTATACTAGTAATAATAATTTCTCCGCTCGAGGACCCCCAACCAGTGGCGTGTCCAGAACATTTTGAATGAGGTGGCCAAGGTGGGGCACAGAACCAGTTTAGGGGGCCCATAACATTTTGAACCTTAATCGATGCAAAGTGGATTCATTCAATATGATTATGATGGTTCAACGCATTAAATGCTCCAGTTTAGGTGTGGTACATTTCCCTGTTCAAATAAATCATAAATCAATTCCAAAAGTCTTGTTAGTGTTTGCATTCAAGGTCAGGATTTTATATAAGGATAAAGATATGTTGTTGTTTTTTAACGCAGAAAATCTGGTGTTTATACAGTGGGGAAAAAAGTATTTAGTCAAATCAAATCAAATCAAATCAAATTGTATTGGTCACATGCGCCGAATACAACAGGTGCAGACATTACAGTGAAATGCTTACTTACAGCCCTTAACCAACAGTGCATTTATTTTTAACAAAAAAAAATTAAACAACAACAAAAAACAAAAAAAGTGTTGAGAAAAAATAAGAGCAGAAGTAAAATAAAATAATAGTAGGGAGGCTATATATACAGGGGGGTACCGGTGCAGAGTCATGGGTAGCCATGATTAGCTGTTCAGGAGTCTTATGGCTTGGGGGTAGAAGCTGTTGAGAAGTCTTTTGGACCTAGACTTGGCACTCCGGTACCGCTTGCCGTGCGGTAGCAGAGAGAACAGTCTATGACTAGGGTGGCTGGAGTCTTTGACAATTTTGAGGGCCTTCCTCTGACACCGCCTGGTATAGAGGTCCTGGATGGCAGGAAGCTTGGCCCCAGTGATGTACTGGGCCGTACGCACTACCCTCTGTAGTGCCTTGCGGTCGGAGGCCAAGCAGTTGCCATACCAGGCGGTGATGCAACCAGTCAGGATGCTCTCGATGGTGCAGCTGTATAATTTTTTGAGGATCTGAGGACCCATGCCAAATCTTTTCAGTCTCCTGAGGGGGAATAGGCTTTGTCGTGCCATGAGAATGGGGGCGTGCTCAGTCCTCTTTTTTTTTCACCAATTTCACCAATTCACCAGCCACCAATTGTGCAAGTTCTCCCACTTAAAAAGATGAGAGAGGCCTGTAATTTTCATCATAGGTACACGTCAACTATGACAGACAAAATGAGAAAAATATATCCAGAAAATCACATTGTAGGATTTGTAATGAATTTATTTGCAAATTATGGTGGAAAATAAGTATTTGGTCAATAACAAAAGTTTCTCAATACTTTGTTATATACCCTTTGTTGGCAATGACACAGGTCAAACGTTTTCTGTAAGTCTTCACAAGGTTTTCACACACTGTTGCTGGTATTTTGGCCCATTCCTCCATGCAGATCTCCTCTAGAGCAGTGATGTTTTGGGGCTGTCGCTGGGCAACACGGACTTTCAACTCCCTCCAAAGAATTTCTATGGGGTTGAGATCTGGAGACTGGCTAGGCCACTCCAGGACCTTGAAATGCTTCTTACGAAGCCACTCCTTCGTTGCCCGTGCGGTGTGTTTGGGATCATTGTCATGCTGAAAGACCCAGCCACGTTTCATCTTCAATGCCCTTGCTGATGGAAGGAGGTTTTCACTCAAAATCTCACGATACATGGCCCCATTCATTCTTTCCTTTACACGGATCAGTCGTCCTGGTCCCTTTGCAGAAAAACAGCCCCAAAGCATGATGTTTCCACCCCCATGCTTCACAGTAGGTATGGTGTTCTTTGGATGCAACTCAGCATTCTTTGTCCTCCAAACACGACGAGTTGAGTTTTTACCAAAAAGTTCTATTTTGGTTTCATCTGACCATATGACATTCTCCCAATCCTCTTCTGGATCATCCAAATGCACTCTAGCAAACTTCAGACGGGCCTGGACATGTACTGGCTTAAGCAGGGGGACACGTCTGGCACTGCATGATTTGAGTCCCTGGCGGTGTAGTGTGTTACTGATGGTAAGCATTGTTACTTTGG